CGCACGCCCTCTCGCATCAACTCGCACAACTCCACACAACAACTACAACTACGTCTCCTCGACTAGTCGAACACATACTCACATGCATATCCACAAAGTCTACACGCTCGCGTACACTCACACACAAACACAATCCATCAACAAACACAGCTGCCTGCAAGACAACTAAACAATCATTTGACTGTTCACTCCCACTGCAAGACTACAACTCACACAAACACGCATTGGCCAATCAACCTGTCAACCGACATGTTCACCAACACCAGGTCAAGACACACAGCATCTGTCACCACAATCCAGTAGAGTCACCGACCAGTCACGAGCACTCAACACAAAGTGCACCAACACAGGTTCGCTTCACACAACACCGGCTTCTTGCAGTCACGCTCGTCATACTCTCAGACAATTGTAATGAGCAACGATGGTCCACTCCACCACAAGCCCCATTGTGCCGCTTACACACAACCGACTCGACCATGAGCACACCTGAAACACTCCACTCAGAACATTCAACACATTGACATACGGCATCACCTGAAATCGACCGTGATATCACCAAGTGTATCGACCATACTGCACACCATCCTGAGAGAACAATACAGAGAGACCAGTGTCTCAGCGCAATCTATGTCCAGCACATTGTTGTTGCGATTCTCTACCACATACCATGTGCTCAATACTATCCAGTCTGAAATGATATCTGCCAGTGAGGCACTTTCGACTACATCGCTCGTAGGATAAATCCTAGTAGAAACAATGCATTTGTTGGTGACAATGGACGACGAGTTGTAGTCACACCACGCTCGTCAAAGTCCTCTTCGAATCCTAGTCGACTGAACAATATGATGGTCACTGAGTACTCGCATTGAGACAGCACTGTCCTAAAAATTATTGAAGTGTAAACAGTGTCACTTGATCCGTTGTGAATTAGTGTTGGTATCGATCAGTCGGGATCTCGAGAAGCATCCTCATGTACACGTCACCATATCTGGATGGTCGACACTCGCAATACGAATGAACACTGGAACCGACCAACAAACAATGATTCACATCTCAGTCACAAAATCATCGTGAGAATTGTTGACAAGCTGCAGATATTGACAGACATCCGACATGAGATAATGTCGAGTGTTCAACGAATGCATGTGTATTTGCGTAAATGCGTGTGTTTATACTTGGCGTATGCGTGGGTGTGTATGTGTGACTGTCCGGTCCTCACTCAATAAATATACCCAGGTGTGGGTGCGTTTTCGCGCAGGCGAACCTGCACGTTCCCGTGTGTGTGTGTGTGTGTGTGTGTGTGTGTGTGACAATGCGTTAGTGTGTACTCTGAAGATGGGTTGTTGGATGACGACGGTGGGTTTTCTGATTGTCATGCGTTGGTCACGGAGTAGCTGTGTCGATGTACAACATTGACAAAGCGAGAGTACGTATGGTGTGGTTGATGGATGTTGTCACAATGTCGGTATTTTTCTGAGAGTTGTTTGTAGTTTGAAAAGCATGTTTCCGCCCAGGCTCGAACTGGGGACCTTCTGTGTGTTAGACAGACGTGATGACCACTACACCACGGAAACGACGATTCGCACGCCCTCTCGCATCAACTCGCACAACTCCACACAACAACTACAACTACGTCTCCTCGACTAGTCGAACACATACTCACATGCATATCCACAAAGTCTACACGCTCGCGTACACTCACACACAAACACAATCCATCAACAAACACAGCTGCCTGCAAGACAACTAAACAATCATTTGACTGTTCACTCCCACTGCAAGACTACAACTCACACAAACACGCATTGGCCAATCAACCTGTCAACCGACATGTTCACCAACACCAGGTCAAGACACACAGCATCTGTCACCACAATCCAGTAGAGTCACCGACCAGTCACGAGCACTCAACACAAAGTGCACCAACACAGGTTCGCTTCACACAACACCGGCTTCTTGCAGTCACGCTCGTCATACTCTCAGACAATTGTAATGAGCAACGATGGTCCACTCCACCACAAGCCCCATTGTGCCGCTTACACACAACCGACTCGACCATGAGCACACCTGAAACACTCCACTCAGAACATTCAACACATTGACATACGGCATCACCTGAAATCGACCGTGATATCACCAAGTGTATCGACCATACTGCACACCATCCTGAGAGAACAATACAGAGAGACCAGTGTCTCAGCGCAATCTATGTCCAGCACATTGTTGTTGCGATTCTCTACCACATACCATGTGCTCAATACTATCCAGTCTGAAATGATATCTGCCAGTGAGGCACTTTCGACTACATCGCTCGTAGGATAAATCCTAGTAGAAACAATGCATTTGTTGGTGACAATGGACGACGAGTTGTAGTCACACCACGCTCGTCAAAGTCCTCTTCGAATCCTAGTCGACTGAACAATATGATGGTCACTGAGTACTCGCATTGAGACAGCACTGTCCTAAAAATTATTGAAGTGTAAACAGTGTCACTTGATCCGTTGTGAATTAGTGTTGGTATCGATCAGTCGGGATCTCGAGAAGCATCCTCATGTACACGTCACCATATCTGGATGGTCGACACTCGCAATACGAATGAACACTGGAACCGACCAACAAACAATGATTCACATCTCAGTCACAAAATCATCGTGAGAATTGTTGACAAGCTGCAGATATTGACAGACATCCGACATGAGATAATGTCGAGTGTTCAACGAATGCATGTGTATTTGCGTAAATGCGTGTGTTTATACTTGGCGTATGCGTGGGTGTGTATGTGTGACTGTCCGGTCCTCACTCAATAAATATACCCAGGTGTGGGTGCGTTTTCGCGCAGGCGAACCTGCACGTTCCCGTGTGTGTGTGTGTGTGTGTGTGTGTGACAATGCGTTAGTGTGTACTCTGAAGATGGGTTGTTGGATGACGACGGTGGGTTTTCTGATTGTCATGCGTTGGTCACGGAGTAGCTGTGTCGATGTACAACATTGACAAAGCGAGAGTACGTATGGTGTGGTTGATGGATGTTGTCACAATGTCGGTATTTTTCTGAGAGTTGTTTGTAGTTTGAAAAGCATGTTTCCGCCCAGGCTCGAACTGGGGACCTTCTGTGTGTTAGACAGACGTGATGACCACTACACCACGGAAACGACGATTCGCACGCCCTCTCGCATCAACTCGCACAACTCCACACAACAACTACAACTACGTCTCCTCGACTAGTCGAACACATACTCACATGCATATCCACAAAGTCTACACGCTCGCGTACACTCACACACAAACACAATCCATCAACAAACACAGCTGCCTGCAAGACAACTAAACAATCATTTGACTGTTCACTCCCACTGCAAGACTACAACTCACACAAACACGCATTGGCCAATCAACCTGTCAACCGACATGTTCACCAACACCAGGTCAAGACACACAGCATCTGTCACCACAATCCAGTAGAGTCACCGACCAGTCACGAGCACTCAACACAAAGTGCACCAACACAGGTTCGCTTCACACAACACCGGCTTCTTGCAGTCACGCTCGTCATACTCTCAGACAATTGTAATGAGCAACGATGGTCCACTCCACCACAAGCCCCATTGTGCCGCTTACACACAACCGACTCGACCATGAGCACACCTGAAACACTCCACTCAGAACATTCAACACATTGACATACGGCATCACCTGAAATCGACCGTGATATCACCAAGTGTATCGACCATACTGCACACCATCCTGAGAGAACAATACAGAGAGACCAGTGTCTCAGCGCAATCTATGTCCAGCACATTGTTGTTGCGATTCTCTACCACATACCATGTGCTCAATACTATCCAGTCTGAAATGATATCTGCCAGTGAGGCACTTTCGACTACATCGCTCGTAGGATAAATCCTAGTAGAAACAATGCATTTGTTGGTGACAATGGACGACGAGTTGTAGTCACACCACGCTCGTCAAAGTCCTCTTCGAATCCTAGTCGACTGAACAATATGATGGTCACTGAGTACTCGCATTGAGACAGCACTGTCCTAAAAATTATTGAAGTGTAAACAGTGTCACTTGATCCGTTGTGAATTAGTGTTGGTATCGATCAGTCGGGATCTCGAGAAGCATCCTCATGTACACGTCACCATATCTGGATGGTCGACACTCGCAATACGAATGAACACTGGAACCGACCAACAAACAATGATTCACATCTCAGTCACAAAATCATCGTGAGAATTGTTGACAAGCTGCAGATATTGACAGACATCCGACATGAGATAATGTCGAGTGTTCAACGAATGCATGTGTATTTGCGTAAATGCGTGTGTTTATACTTGGCGTATGCGTGGGTGTGTATGTGTGACTGTCCGGTCCTCACTCAATAAATATACCCAGGTGTGGGTGCGTTTTCGCGCAGGCGAACCTGCACGTTCCCGTGTGTGTGTGTGTGACAATGCGTTAGTGTGTACTCTGAAGATGGGTTGTTGGATGACGACGGTGGGTTTTCTGATTGTCATGCGTTGGTCACGGAGTAGCTGTGTCGATGTACAACATTGACAAAGCGAGAGTACGTATGGTGTGGTTGATGGATGTTGTCACAATGTCGGTATTTTTCTGAGAGTTGTTTGTAGTTTGAAAAGCATGTTTCCGCCCAGGCTCGAACTGGGGACCTTCTGTGTGTTAGACAGACGTGATGACCACTACACTAGGGTAACCACTTTGGTCGCGCTCTTTTTTTCTGTGAATTATTTGTTTTTGACTTGTATTATTCGAACTTTACAATAGAAACTGCTTTCCTTTTGTAGTTGTTTGTATATGCTTAAGTTCACGTAATTTGGTAGTTTTTTCTTCAATTTTACTGTGAATTATTTTCATGATGAAGGTTTATCGTTTACAACCTGTCATTAAAGTTTACATCACTATTGCTCAAATGAAATGACAAATTAATTATCCTGTGTGTATTGAATATGCATGAAATAACAGTTATGAAGACAAGATTATGCTTGAGTAAACTAACAATATATTCAATTATATAACGCAATATTAAGAATAATATATGATGAATAAATGCATACATTGAGTAATAAAGTTCAAAGATACAAGAAATAAATATGACTTGTCGTTTCTTTCACTGGAATAAAACATCCAGAAGAATGATAATGAGGTTATGTAATATCAAGATATTGTAAAAAACAAAACCAGTTAGTGCACATCAAACACATGCTTATCAGTGCTACACAAATTGATATGTGTGATACATACATGATTAGAGAAAATAAACTATTATGCACGTAGGTTATTGTGATAATTCTGTGCTGATGAATGAATGGAAATAAGAAATACATTTATGCTTGTTTCTTTAATTTCGCTAATTTCGCACGCGAATCTTCAATTCTTTTCTTTAATTCATCCTCTGAATAAACAGGACCTGCATTATATACAAAGTATAATTCATACATAAATATTACCTAATTGAGAAAATATACATCGGTTCATGATTTAAATAAGATCTAACAATCTGCATAACCCCTACTAACAAATATTATATCCTCACTAGTGACTAGATCCGAGAGAAAATTTATGGAGTTATAGTGAGAATCCATGACCGGTGGAGTTCAACCGTGTTGAATGTGAGGTAGTTACCCACGGAATGCAATGGAAGATGGTCGCACAAGGTCGTGCAATGATTGTAGTTAAGCATTAACACTGTTGAATGCCGACTCAGTGGTTTAGAGCTTAAGTGTTCACGCAGGAGATCGAAGATCCTGAGTTCAGTTCCCATGTGCACGCTCGTGGATGCGTACTTCTGAGGAGTCCCATACTAGGGTGAAACGGCCGTCTAATACTTCCGAACTTTCGATGGTGGTTTAACTTGAATCGGTTCGTGATTTCAACTCAACGATTTCTACAACTCCTAACTGACAAAATATACAGTTTTCAAACAGAATGATATATAGCTATTCCTTTAGCGATTTTATTTAGTGGGACCCGTACAATTGTCAATTATCAGTGAATTCGGTAATTTGATAGTTTAACAAGAAGATGTGAAATATGAGATATGAAGAAAGTAATAAGTGACTAATTATAATCATAGAGAACTTTCTAAAATAGGTCAGTGTATTTTTTCACGTAACAAATTGAAACTTAACTAGTTATTCAACTCACCCGGTACAAATTGATGTCTTTTGTTTCGAGTCACACTTAGTTATCCAAATTGAAGTTGGTGGGACGGAGTTCTAATTCGAAGCTCAGAAGTTGTAAATCAGATGCATTAGTCAATGGGCCACCATAAATAAAGTAATGCTGAGAGTTTGAAAGCACTGGACAGCTAAAACATCCTAGCTACAGATTCCTCAACAGTACAAAATCACAATCTCAACAACGATTAGAACCAGAACTATTAGCAGTTAAGAAAATTATCTAAAGACGATTTAGTTAACATGCTTAACTACTATTAACACATAACATTGTAAAATTGATGTCTTATGCCCGATATTATTGAAACCCACAAGTTACAGATTCATATTAGAACTATAATTTTAGTCAAAGTACACTGAACATTACAGTACATCTACTCGGTCCCATCGACTGAAGTGATATGACTCAGAATGATTCATAATAGCGCTCAATCTTGATTTCCAGTATTCCGCCATACATACCCTTTCCACTCTGTCTTTTCAAACCATATTCCCAATGTTCACTCTTTCGCATTTTCATTGCTATCACATTATCTCTATCTGTTTGTTCATTTCATCTCGTCGTGTTAATACGATATGGCAACTTGAACCAGCCCATATCTGTGACTGGTTTTATCTTGATGACGGGTTAGCTAGAGTAAAAGGATCATGGTCCAAACCTGCGAATTAGTAAGTGAAAGTCAAACATCTTAATCAGCAAGCCACTACTCCACGTAGCCGTAAGTTGGCGGTCCAAGAATTATCAAGTCAGTGTTTTTTTTCACTCAGTAATCAAACATTGGAACATTTGAAAACAGTATCATAACTGCAGAAGAATAACAAGTCAGTCGTTAAGTAAATTAATGATATGGCCATAACTTACCAATATTTTGAATATTTTTCTTGCTGTTATGCAAAACTTCATGACGATATCGTCGACGTGGAGGAGAATTATGCATATCTCGAAAATGAACAGCCTTCGTTGCGTTGACACTAATACCACTGCTACTACTACTACTAGTATCCAAATAGCTTGAATTCGAGTCGATAATTGATCTATCACCAGTGAAATTATCAATGCCAATTATCTTTTGATTTGAGTATGCTTTATGGTAAATGCCGTAATTAGAAAGTTGGTCATCTTCACCGTCATCATAAGTTGCATACCTTGCGTCCAAACAACAACATAAGTAGATAATTCCACTGAACATTAATGCTGGTACTCCAAGAATTAAAAGTGCAAACAATGGTCGAGTAGTGAGGAATTTCTTGTTTATTTGATAGAAAATGAAAAGAACAGTGACGATAGATGAAAGTATCTATTATACATTATTTGAAAGTTACGGTGAATTGTATCTTTAGTACATAGATACATAGAACACCTAATTCTATAAGAATCTGAGGAGATGGTCAAACTTCATAATTTATATTAGGAAGTGATTTTAGTTACATAGCTATTGAAAACCAGGAGACATTGGACAGATGTTTTGTTTTCGTACTAGACTACTCCATCATACGGGGCCGACCCTAGATCGAGTAATTCGAAAGACCTACTCAATCCTACAGAAAACTACTTGATCTAGACATTAAGTTTAATACAATTGGTATCGTTTTACTTGAATCTTCCCATTGATGTTTAGGACTGAAATTGATCAGTCTGTTATTGGCATATGTACATACTGTGCGTATAACAACTGCCAGCCACTATTCCATATTTGCTTATAATTAAGCTTAATAGTTCATCAACAAATTTGTGGTGATTTGTAAGAAACTTAATGATAGTTTCCGCCGCTCTCCTTGTAACAGATACCTTGTTTAACATCACATCGTCCAGGAAAGACTAGAGAAGCTATTAGAAATTGAGTGGTTTAACTTGATGAATTAGACTTTCAGAAAGCTATGGAAATATTAGTAATACAGTTCGATCATATAGATGACATTGTTAAAAAGTTACTGGATAAGTTGCCCAAAGGGTAAAGACGAGATGGATGGAGATGCCATCAGCTTGATAAGATCAGTAAAGCAGACTGTTAACTGTAAGGTGGTTTTGACTTCTAAACTCAGATGGGCAAGCACAACATATCATAAATACTACGAAGGTAATGAGAGTCATTTCCGGGATCCTATTTCATTCTTTAAGAAAGTTTTCATCAACTTCTGTTTCTGGTTACTATTTACTGTAAAGACTCGCTTTAGGACGAATCTATCCATTATTTGCGTACAAATAAGTATCCAATAAATATAACGATTAACAAAAGACGAGTATTCAGCTTATCAGTAACAATATTCCTAGTTTCTTCGCAATCGATTTTGGATCATAAAGCGTGAAGAAAAATTGAAATCACTTTTTAAATAATTAATAGGCGCTTCAAATGTTTCAAATCTTGCCGTAAATACACTGCTTACCGAATAACAACTAGCTCTAAGGAAGAAGGACGTAGTGGTCGACATAGAAGCTTGTTGCACATTTCTTAGCTTAAACAAATATTGTCAACTACTAGTGTACACTCTATGTAGACTGACTGCATATCCCGTTTATCTACGTTTCTCACCAATCCGATTAATTCACTGGGTTCAAAGTAATTTTATACTTCTCTCCTTAATAATGTTGCTGATTCTACCCTCATAGAAAAGAATCGAGTAGGAAAAGTTAAGTTAAAAGGTACTCTACTGCAGTTTAAAATCCATATCTAATGATGGAAAACTTGTTAAGGAAATGTTCATTGTGAGCTTCTCTCTGTTAAATCTTTAAAAGATTGTTTAAAGTGGATATCAATGATTTATCTTTGAATCATGAAACAAGCATTTTATCTAAACAGTTCACTATTTTTACAGTTATCTGAACATAATGTATTCAAAGCATTATTAACATTTGATGGAAACAACAATCAATTACATCAAATCATGTTAATGCTATATTCCAACGAAGATTAGATTATGGGTAACTTCGGAGAATTATTTATAGACTATTATATAACTTGATTATATAACTGTTAAGTAACTAGATTATATATATGTATTGTATATTATATGTAAATTGTATAAGCCGTATTGGGATTGGCGGTCATATCACGTGATAAATTAACCGGCCCAGATGGTTGGATGTAGACTAAAGCGAAACTACAATTTATGGACGAATCAATCAATCAAGTACAAGATGACATGTTTCGGATTTTGGTGCGAAATTCACTCATCCTTTTGACTAAATGGAATCTTGTCATTATAGCTGATGTCAGTTCGTGATGAAAACCCTAAATCTAATTCCTAACCTTAACCATCAACCATAAATCATAATTCGAATCCCTCACAATATTTCATAGCCCTCATTTGGTCCTAGTTATTTGGTGGACACTCTCAAGGTCAGTCTGGCGTCGCTCAAAGATCATCCATAAATTATAGTCTTATCTAGACTAAATATCCAAGTGTATTTAAAAGGATACTGTTTTTCGTTAGCGTGTATCTATTGAAAAGAAAATATACATCATCTAGACATTCAGAAGAATTGAAAATCATAGATTAATCAACTAAGTATTAAGAATGCTGTCTAAAACAGAGAAACATAGATATTGTGTAGAAAAAAGTGGTTTTATAATGAATTACAACATGAAGAATTTCATCAATAGTTAAACTCTATTTAAATAAACTTACCGAGAAACCGATAAGAAAATTATATCCTAAACGTTGTAGTCTTATTGAAATTGTATTACCTCCAATACCCTAGTTCATATGTTTTACAAAAGAAATAGAAATAGTGTTTTGTTTATTTTAATAAACATGTAACATAAAAACTGGTTACTACTATCACATTTAACATAAGATATGAATTAAAGCTTTAGTAAAGTTGAATTATGACGAATAGTGTAATCTAGAATGTATATTTCATTCAATTGAGTACTAGTCAACTAGAAAACCATACAATCAGTTCATAAATTCAAAATAAACATTAAAGTTACGATATAAATACATTTAGATAAAGAGTTCAAAGTAGTATGAAACTACCATCCTGGATTACCATACTAACTACAAACAAACTTCAATAAAACATGAATTTGAAGACAATCCAATCAATATTGACATTTAGTAATAGAAATCATGAGTCAATTGAAACTAGATCATTATGGAAAACCTGGAAGCACTGGACGACCGTTTCGTCCTAGTATAGGACTCCTCACAGCAGTGCGCATCCATAGTGGTCTAGCTTCAATTGACTCATGATTTCAACTATTGAAATTACTAAAATCTCCATAAAACTCTTTCTGATAATATAGAAATAGAGATTAATGAAATGTAATCCTTAATATCAATAATAGATCAATTTAAACCCCTATGTACATGTTGTGCAACACATGTCAGCTACAAATCATATCATAATCAAATAATCTTATATAAATATCATTTAATTCAAGAAATGATACTTATTAAATAAACTTACTTAATAGAGTATTGAATAGGTGAGCATTTGCTACAAATTCAGTCTGTTAAGATCTTAGATTTACTACCTAATCTTATAAACAGAATTATCAATTAGATTTTTTTATTGGTGGTTCACACATAAATGATCTTTAAAATACCAAACTTTAAAAAAAAAGATTTGTAATTATGAATAATCCTTTATCAACACTGATTTAGATAGATGGATAATAGCATCAACTGTCCTGAATAACAAGATTGTAGCTCCAAATCTATAATTGTTCAAATCGGTTGTATTAAATTACAGGATAATAGGATAGACATAGAAGTAGGATAGATACATAATCAAGATATTCTAGTCTGATGCATTAACGCATAAATACTAAAAGGTTAACCAATCCAGGATGTCAGTGACTATTGGTCTGAGTCATTATGCAACTGCAAACTACTTAGCTGGGATTCGGGGTGATGATCGTGATCAGTGTTTGAAGTAATTGAATGATATGAGTTTGTATCGGTTGCAGTGGCAAAGATCCATTCACTTTTTACGAATGGATGGTTTATGTACAAAATTGATTATCAAACCATTAAATCTAACTCAACTAATTATCATAAGATAAAATTAATTGTCAACGATTGATTGAGCATAACAATACCGTGGGGTATTTTTACAACTGCTATTTATATATTAAAAATATCCAACCATGATAATATGATACATTTAATAGGGTTATAAATGAATATGCAGTTAGTATTATCAGTCATATATTGATCTTATTTAAAAAACCATTAAAAACAAAAGAGGATTGAACAGCTGTTTCGTCCTAGTATAGGACTCTTCGAAACTACACTCTCAAGACCCTACCACACATTGCAACACAAGACTTTCGGATCATACAACAAACACTTAACTATTAAAACCACTAAATCAGCATTCAATGCTACAATTCCAGCATTAACAGAATTTATCGAATCAATCTGTTATGACCGAGGGTGGGGAGAGTTCGCTCTACCTCTCGAAATGCTCTCACATGGCCACGTGTATACAACCACTGCAGGGAAAAACCTACTCACTGCCTTCTCGCGACATTACCGTTGTTTACGGAATTGAGAGGACGAAAAGCGAATAACCAACGCTTCAACCGGGTTGGCGGATACGGAGGATCCACCTAGGGGAGTTAGAAAACCCTCATTCCAAACCAATGGTGAACGTGGGCTCCAGTATCCTGAGGGAAAAAATGGCGTATGAACCAATCATTGGTCACCGGCTACCATGGGACTGAATCTCCTGACATTGCTCCACTGCCTTATGGATCAGACCTTGAGGTCGAAGGCTCCGGGCATGGCTTCCTAAGGAAACCACCTGTTTCGGTTTGGGCACCCGGGCAGTATCACAGCCCACATACAAATCAAGTGACTAATGTGGGGCATATGTTTTCGTTGCCTTTTTGTACTAATATTTATGTGTTCAAATAAATAAACAGAATACATACTACTTGCAAATTCAAATAACTTCCATAACATTTTTTCAGAGTTTATGAAACAAACCAATAAACTTTCGAACATATAATTATCTCAGTAGTTGGAATCATGAGTCAATTGAAGCTAGACCACCATGGGAAACATGGAAGCACTGGATGGCCATCTCGTCCTAGTATAGGGCTCCTCAGCAGTGAGCATTCACGATCCCACCCCATGAGGTTCAAACCCAGGACCGATCAGTCTCGTGCGCGAGCGCTTAACCATTAGACCACTGAGCCGGCATCCAACGGTGTTAATGTCTAACTTCAACCAATCCACGAAATTGCACCACCGTACACCATTGTCTTCAGTGAGCTGATATCTCACAACCGACCTGGTTAAACTCCACTGGTAACGGTTTCTCACTAAAACTCCGGGAAATGCCTCTTGAAGTCAGTCACTAGTAAGCAGATGATTATTGTCATGCGCACTGCTAAGTAGTCCCATACTAGGACGAAACAACCGTCCAGTGCTTCCAGGTTTTCCATGATGATCTAGCTTCAATTGACTCATGATTTCAACTATTGAAATTTCTAAAATCTCCACAAAACCTCTTCTGAATATAATTATTTTAAAATCATTCAAGAAACAAATAAATAAACAAACCCAATGATTTCCTTACTTTAATCTTTCCGTCATTAATAAGCATTAAGAAATTAATTAAATTATTCTCATCAAATAATGAAGAATATGATGAATAGTGATTTGATAAATATACAAATAATTCATGTGTAACAGGATTTAAAACAATGAAATTTGGTACAGTTATTGTTCTCATAGCCAAATTCTCTAAACTTTCTACATCATTAGTCCATGCTAATTGGAAATAGCTAAATTAAAAAAAAGAGAAAGAAAGAAGAAAAGAATCTAAAACAAAAAAACAAGTAACTGAACAAAAGTAGATGATTTAGACGAGACTATAATCTATGGATGATCTTTGAGCGACGCCAGACTGACCTTGAGAGTGTCCACCAAATAATTAGGATCAAATGAGGGTTATGAAATATTGTGAGGGATTAGAATTATGATTTATAGTTGATGGTTAAGGTTAGGAATTAGATATATGGTTTTCATCACGAGCTGACATCAGCTATAATGACAAGATTCCATTTAGTCAAAAGGATGAGTGAATTTCGCACCAAAATCCGAAACTTTGATTGGTTCGTCCATAAATTATAGTCTCGCCATGATTTTTTTAAATTTGATTAATATCCCATGATATATGTTCATACTGTAAGGATTTTATGAAGTTTCAGTGTGAATATCAACACTGAAAGACAGACAATTACATCTACCTGATGAGTGTCAAATGAAACGTACATCCTAAATTCCATTAGTAATCACGATTCATTTATTTCATAAAGGCAGTCTATCTAAGCTTCTCGGATAACTGTTTAGGTAAATATCTCGAAAAAATTCTCTATTCAAGGTTTATTTTAAGTGAATAACTCTAAATCACGAACTGACATTAGGTAGATCATCACTGAAGACCTGGAAGCATTGCACAGGATCCTCGCTTTATAATGAACCATGTTAAGTGTGAGACAGTTATCCACTGCAGGCATATTGTGAATTGACTGGAGTTAGACGTGTACAGATTGTGTTCGCGCGTGAAGCCGAAGGTTCTAGGTTCGATTCCTAGATGTGTAATGTTAAGAAGTCCTATACTATAAAGAAATGACCGTCCAGAGCTTTCACATTGTCAACGGTGGTCTAGCTAAGATCAGTTAGTGGTTTAAACTATGAAGATTTTATAATTTCCACAAATCCAATATATTAACGATTAACTGGACGTTGGTTAAATCGTAAGATTTATTCATTCACTACTGGCTTTTATTAAACATTTACAACCTATCGCTATATAATAATTATTGTAAAGCGGAACAACGCTCACAACGTTAGAGAAAGCATCGACCTATAACGCTATACAAATGCTCTACACAACACTTCTCAGTCTACCATCCATATACAACGTAAAACCTGATACATGTGCATCGGTTTAAGTTGTAACATCACATCAACACGACACTCCATAGTACAAGTATTAAAGGTTGTGAATAAAAGATAATTATTCTAGAAGAAAATATGAATTAGTGGAATAAAAACACGTTATGAGATAGTTAAGAAACTTAGGATCCAAGGGAAGACAAAGAGTGAATGGATCTACGCTATCGCGAATGATTCTGAACCATGTCGCCTATAGACACTAACCACTGATTACCAAAATCACGCGTACCCCAACTAGATAGTCAGCATCTACCTACACAGCTCAGTTAAACAATCAATGATTCATGGACTGATAGTGCGTCTTAGTTTGTCAGCTTCTAACTTCCATCTAACTTACTATTACACCAGCCATCACCACTTGTTGAGGTAGGTGGTGGCTGAATATACGTAATACATGACTCAACCACCTCATTCGATGAAGATTTACAACCTCATAAACTGATTTGTCAACTTAACCTATTATTTTATGCGCAACCTTAAAACTGCTTACTCGATTGTTCCATGAAACGCAAGCACTGTTGCAAAGAGGACTATGGTCAAAAATATGGACCAATAAATTCTAACTCAGTGTACTAAAGATAATGTGCTCGACGCTAAATGCAAGGATGTTGGAGTCTATAGGTTAGTTTCAGACTGAGAAGGTAGCCATTCTATTTCTCCTTAATTTTCGATCATTCCCACTATAAATTAATTTGTGATGAAGGCTTTCTTCCACATTATTCTAATTCATCGCAACTCACACAATTAAACAATTATCATAATTAGGTATAATACACTTACCGTATTATATGCGGTAGACGTTTAAGAGCTAATTTCCTCCCGAATTCCAATACCCTGAGTTTATAATAACAGAAATATTAGTTTAATAGAATCAGTAACAAAGTAACATTACATTTGTTGATAATACATTTGGACAACGTGTTAGTATGCATTACCTATTAATAACGTGTAGACTTGATGCTGAGTGGGTAGAGATATATTGCCCATTTGATCAGGTCACTTAATTACAGAATTCGCTCATTAATAATTTACGTTATAATCGGACAGGTACTGTAAAATTTGAACTTTTGGAACTACCCTACCTGGAATTAATTTAGCATATATTTGTTCTTTAATTATTAAATAATGAAAATAATTGTATTTTTATATTCTCATGATTGTAAGCTTTTTCCTGATGCACAAACTGTTATTGTATGTCATACCTTTCTCAAGTTACTGTTAATTTATTACGAATCTATCACTCAGTTCTATTTCACTTATGGTGTAATTATCCTGTTATTGTAATTTCTTAACTATATTGATGTGTGGTCAAGATTTTACTCTATATATTGTATGAGTTTTGAGATATGATTGAATTGAGTACATCAGACAAATAATCGGTCTCCTATTTTTGTCTTCTGAATAGCCACTGAGTTAAAAGGAACTCAAAGATTAATAAATCCTATTGTAATGTGATAATTGAATTCATGAGTCTACTGAAGCTAGACGACCATGGGAAACCTGGAAGCACTAGAAGGCCGTCTCATTCTAGCATAGGATTCCCCAGCAGTACGCATCAATGATCCCGCCCCGCGGGATTCGAACCCAGGACCTATCAGTCTCGCGCGCGAGCGCTTAACCACGAAACCGCTGAGCCGGCATTCAACGGTATTAATGTCTAACTTCAACCAATCCACGAAATTGCGCCACCGTCAACTGGTAGGTCCTGGGTTCGAATCTCGCGGGGCGGGATCGTCGATGCGCACTGCTGAGTGGTCCCATACTAGTACGAAACGGCCAACTAGTGCTTCCAGGTTTTCACAGTGGTCTAGATTCAATTGACTCATGTATTCAATTATTAAATTACTACAATCTCCACAAAACCCCTCTCTGATTAAGTCCTATGGTCTTTGGTGCTGTTTATCGGTTGGTTTCTCAATCGATAACTAAAAAGTCACCGATCTCACCTTTAATGTAGGTGAATTAATCAATAATTGGAATACTGGTTAGATAATATAACATAATATCGATTAGCATCACAAGTCATAACAGTTCACCTTAGCCCAATCTACCCGATAACCTTCTCTTGATTACTAACACAACTAACCGTAAACAGTGATCGGGATCTCAATGCCTATTGGTAGTTGAACACAATATAATTTATTTATAGTACCCTATCAGAAAATTCAATGACGCACATGATTATATACATATACACCAAGTGCGTAATCACACCTTGTCACAAATAAGAAATAACATATAATCTGTGCATGACTAGGTTGTTGATGGTCTAAAACTGAACAACAAGTATAAAATTAATTAACTGTCAATTACAAGAACCGTAAAATATATAACAAAAGTTAATAAAGGAAGCGGAGGCTTGTCGTAAGAGCAACATAAAAAACATCATAACTCAAGGAATTAACAAATGCACAAGAATATATATATACTACCATTACCAATAATAATAATAATAATAATAATAATAATAATAATAATAATAATAATAATAATAATAATGGTAGTGGCAATAATAATCATAACTTCCAAGTTTTTTTATATTTATCCCTTTTCTTTGAAATCCACTTTCTTTTGTGAATCAATCCATACTACTTATTAATATTTAGTAACCCGTTTCCTTTCTGAAAACTTTTGAGCAACTAGTGTAATGAATATTCCATTCATTTATGATTTTGATCGCGTTTTTTAATACTTGCGACAGATGATCTCAATTTTAGTGTATCTGTTAAACTTTGGTTTTATTGTAAAAATTTACGTACTTAATTGTTCATCGTTCTCATTCTGATATTGTTGACGTCATTTCGACACGGCGATTAGCTGTCATATATCATATTGTAAATTGTTATAAATAACTCTATGTATCCATTTTAAGAAACATTCTTCTCTGTTGTTGACATTCTCATAAGTTGAAGTTTTTATCGTATTTCATATAATTTCGTAATTATAGAACTGTCCTTACAGATAATTTTGTTTTACCTTGCCGGATTTGACGTGTCAATTAATTGTGTAGTTGAAGTCTCAATAAAGAGTTAACAATAATAATAATAGTAAAATAGATTAAAAAACGACAATCACTAATAATATTATTCACATCTAAAGGAATATATTAATCTAACTGTACGAATGTACACATACGTCGAAACAGTTCTACTGCAAACAGCTGAAACTTGGAGAACTATAAACATAGTCAAAAAATATACAGGTATTTAAAAACAATTGTCTACTCAAGATACTCAATGTCTGTTAGCCGGATACCGTCAGCAACAACGTGTTGTGTGAGAGAGAAAAAACCAACTTCCAGCTTAAGAGGAAGTTAGAAAAACACGTTGGAGGCGGATAGGACATAGATACATCATCAAACTGAATCGCGAGACAAACCCTTACTTGGAATTCTGGAAGAAAAGTAGACCAAGGAACACATTGCGTTGGGGATTAGAAGTAGACATCAAAAAAATGAATAGCAACTAGAAAAAACTGAAGAGGATTTCCCAGGACAGAGTTCGATGGAGAATCCTAGTGGGCAGCCTATGTTCCACCACGACAGATAATAGGCGTATGTAGGTAAATAATGCACACATAACAAACAATCAGCATGAAAATGTTCTAAATGAATCCAACTAGAAAATTATTGAACAATTTCTAGTCTACGGTTAATTCTACAAACAATAAGTAACTTGTAAATGCATAAATCAAGTCTATTACCAATCATTTAGAACAATGAGAAGTGATAGCGACCGATAACCAAACATAATTGTGAAGAAAAAAAACGTAAAGAAAGTAATAATCCACCAAAAAGATTATTATTACCGAGTCCATGTGATTAAAGGAGTGATATAGGAAATTACCTTATTATTTATCAAAGAAAAATACAAACCAATTTAAATGTTTAATTCACCTAGATGGAGAACTCTTTTCTATTAATTGATCAATAACAAATAATCCAAGTAAACGATAATTTCGATATGATTGTACTGGACTTGTATTTGAATGTAATGATTGTTGAACCACTGAATCATCGTTACTATTACTTCTACTATTATCATCTGTAGTATTAGTACTAGTAGTATTAGGATTATGATTTTGAATGTCCAATAATTCATTCGATGCAAATTCCCACCAATCAAAATGAGATAATTTCGGAAATCCCGGCTGTCGTTCACGTAACGTCCATAATATTAGATCTTGATATAATTCCGCCGTATTATTTGTTAATTGGAAATTTTTATCTACATGATAATAATAAGAATATTCAAAAAAAATGATGGGAACAAAATTGATTTTTTTTACTGACGCGAGCTTTCTTGATTAAACTCTCTCACTTTACCGGTATGTATAATAGAATACTTTATTTTAAAAATTATGACGTGATTTACACCACGATTCGATCTTGGTTAGATAATCAATAAAGAGCAAAGAGCACTGGACAACCGTTTTGCTCTAGTACAACACCTCCCTCAACAGTACACACACCCATGAGTACATTGGGAATCAAACCCGGGAAATTTACATTTCGTTGTTAACACCTAACCGTTAGAATCAATGGGTCAACATCGAGTGGTACAATTTCACCTTCAATTAGTGTTTGAATTATACTAGTGGACGCTAACCGAATGATTCTAATGGTAGATGTTCGCTGCAAGATCTGAAACTTTTGGCTTTAATCCTTCGTGGTATCATAAATGAGCATTGCTTAGTAGTCCTATACTCAGATGAGATAGCTATTTAGTGCTCCGTGATATTCATTAGTGCCACGTATGAGTTCAATGTGTGACAAATACTACTGACAAATCATTATTATGCTGTAGATACATTTCATTGAGGAAATTCAGTAAGCACAAAAACTAGTCCTATAATTCAATCACTCGTAACAAAATCAATATTATATTGTCTAATTCTTAGTGCTGACTAAATTCCAGCAATTAAGTTATAACATGATTACTACTAAAAGGGAGCAATTACTGTGTAAACATTTGAATACCACAAAAGGTTATTTACGGCTCCAATACATCAATGTAATAGCTTTCATAATTGAGACACTGTTAGATGATCCATATTTAAATCATATGATGAATATCAGTGTCGTCTATCTATCACCATAATCCATCATATATAGCATACTAAGAAATATTTGAATATAGTTTATGTTCATTAGAATCTTATTTGTAGAATTGTAGAAAAAAATTACTGTATCATATCAGATCTACACATCTTCATAAGAATGTTAAACTATTAATCAGTAATTTTGATAATGTTAACAGGACCGACCTTAACTATTGCATATTTCAATTAAGCTCAAATTTGAACACTCGGATTAGTCCATAATCTCAACCAATCAGCATCATGAGATGAATAGAGAAGAAGTCCATAGATTATTGTGTAAATTTTATATAAATTATAATTTTTATACCACAGTAGCGTGTCTTCTCGGGTTCTTTGAAGTAAACGTTGTTCTCTATCAATTCTTATCTTGATTTGGGATTTATTTATTTATTTATTTTAACAAATAGATATTGGTACAAGGAGGCACCAAATACATATGCGCCACACATATCTCATTTGATATGTGTGAGGGCTGTGATACTGACCGGGTGCCCAAACCGAAGCAGGTGATTTTCTTAGGGAACCACACCTGGAGCCTTCGACCTCAAGGTCTGATCCACAAGGCAGTGGAGCATCACGAGGAGATGCAGTCCCATGGTAGCCGGTGACCAACAATTGGTTCATACGCCATTTGTTCCCTCAGGATACTGGAGCCCATGTGTACCAGTGGTTTGAAATGAGGGTTTTCCAACTCCACTAGGTGGACTCTTCATGTCCACCAACCCGATTAAAGCGCCGGGCATCCGCTTTTCATCCTCTCAATTTCGTAAACAACACCCACGAGTAGGACTTCCCTGGCAGAGGCTATATACGCGTGGCCATATGAGAGCATTTCGAGAGGTAAAGCGGGCTCTACCCACTCTCGGCCGTACCAGGGTATTTGGGGGCTCTTGATTTAGAGGTCCAAGAGATCATGGGCAGATAATGATGATAATCATCCAGTCCCATTGTATATATACATATATATAAACTTTTGGAGTTGAGGCACAAAATAATGAAGGATAGAATATACATTCCACAAGGCATGTGCTTAAAATTTCATGAATGTATAGAAACTAAGATAAACAAAGAGAGAACAATCAAATGAACCAAAAAACAACAACGATTAACTGAACTTACTTGAAAATAGACCAGGATAAGAATAAACTTGAGAATCTTTAAAAACTAAAATCTCTGTAAATATATCATTGGATGATTTCAAAGTCTCAATGTAAGGCTATACAAGTATTTAAGTTTCATGTGTTTTTTTATAGAGATATAAAAGAAAAGAAAAATTTAAAAAGAAAACATCTTAGTGGGAAAATTTAAATGTTAATTGTGTTAAATGAATAAAACTTGGTAACGCAATATAAAGAAGTAGCTTATTTGGTTAGTTATCAAGCTTTCGCAACTGGGTCTTCACTACACAGATATGAAGAGTTTGTAGTCACAAGATCATAGATAATGAACTGAACCTCCTTAAGAAAAATACTTTTCGAAAACGGGTATCCATAGGTATTCATTGATAAGAACATAAGACTTAAACATTCCAAAACAAAAACAGCCTCTATACTAAAGAAAACTCTTTATATGAAAGTCAATTTCAAAGTTGATACAGCTACAAACATCTTGAAAAGTAGGATTTCTGACTTTCTAAATAGGACGCTATTCATAGCAACTTTACGATTAGATTTCTCCAACTGGCTTATGTTCAGTAGCAATATAAAGGATAAATCATCTCATCGAACTAATTCCATGTGCATTTATCAATTTACCTTTTCATATGGAGCCAGTTATATAAGTCGTTAGATGTTCATTTTATCCAAAAGAATTCAAGAACATTACCATATTGGCTGAAAAGAGGTGAAAATGGTTCATTAAGAAATTTCATAATTGAACACCTTGTGAACGCAGGCTATTCGATCAAAATAGGATCTGCGTTCTAAGTCATATAAAAGTTAAGTAGAAAGCTACCCAAGGGAGTTAGCTTCCAAATTCTTGATATTTTCGTAGCATTTGCCATGCATTTTAAAAAAACAGAACTATGTATACAAAAGAAACAACCTATTTTTCTACCATGGTCTTAATCTCCTGTGATTTTTTTTCTACCTTTCTTTTCTCACAACCATCTGCTTCCCTTCTATTTTCTTCTCCATAGAACTTGCCTTTGAAAAAAAACCTCAGTCACATGAAGACAGTGGATAGGACTTTCATGACAGTGGGGGTAAATGCGTGGCTGTATAAGACCATTTTGGGAAGAGGAGCAGATTCTCGCCACCTCCGTTTTACCAGGGCATTTTAGGTGCAGACTGGACTCAAGCAACAGAGTATGAATCTCCACGTCATTCTAGATAATTTTTTGCTGATGAATATTGTAACATTCACTAACAAACATAAAACTGTATGTACGAGACTTTCTATCAATTATCACCAACTGTTTAATATTCGAAACTGTAAAAATATATAAATTAACTAAAATTCAACTTTATGTTTAGTGTTAACAACTAAAAACTTGCTATTCGATAACATGTGTTTGAATTTTCATTTAAAAAGTCAACATAGGTGTGGCAATATTCTGTTATAAGATAAGGTTATTGAAAGTAGAAAATACATCTGACTGTTTCGAGAAACATTATTATTCTTTGATATCTGCTAGTACGGTAATCCGTAAGGTTACGGAGCAACACTGGATCTCAGCAGCATCTATCGCACTGATAGATGCTCGGAAACTCATTCCACCTGGCTCTGAACATAATGAGGAGCGGAGTCAGCTTAAGCGCAAGCTGACAAGAAGTCTACACAATGATCGCGAACAGTGGTGGGTAGCGAAAGCAAGAGAGATAGAAAAGGCAGCAGCAATAGGTAATAGCAGACAATTGTTCAGACTTGTTAAGGAAACCGGTATTAGGAAACCGACTGTTAGCGAAACAATCTCAGAGAAAGATGGACATATTATACATTCTTAATCCAGGAAATTGGATCGATGGGCAGAACACTTTAGGGATCAGTTCAACTGGCCTTCAGCCACACTTCGGTTTCCCACGATCACCAGTCAACCTGAATGGCAAGTTAATGTAAGTCCTCCGTCCCCTTACGAAGTTGAAAAAGCCATAGGAAATCTGAAACGAGGGAGAGCAGCAGGCCCTGACAGGTTTACTCCTGAGATTTTTAAGGATGGTGGTCCAGTATTAGTAATGAGATTAAATGAGGTCTTAGGTAGAATTTGGGAACTGGACGTAATCCCATCTGACTGGTCTCAATCACTGATTGTGCCAGTCTATAAGAAAGGACGAAAGTCCTCCTGTGATAATCACAGAGGAATCAGTTTGACAAATATAGTGTCTAAAATATTAGCTTCAATAATACTTCGACGCCTAACTAAAGCTCATGAAGAGCAGATTAGAGAAAATCAGGCTGGTTTCCAACCTGGACGTGGTTGTATAGATCAGATATTCACACTACGTCAGGTTCTAGAACACAGACACACATTCGGACGCCCCACAATGGTAGTATTTCTCGACCTTAAGGCGGCATTCGACTCTATTGATCGTGAGGTTCTATGGCAGTGTTTGTCACTAAAAGGAGTACCAAAGAAGTACATTAACCTTATAAAGGCTCTCTACTCGAACACAACCGGTAGAGTGAGAGCTTATGGCGAACTGTCATCAGAATTGATTACATCAAGTGGTGTTCGTCAGGGCTGCCCACTCTCTCTATTCTTGTTTAACCTTGTCGTTGACGTGCTTTCAGAGATAACACTTCCCTTATCTAAATTTCCAGGGGTTGAACTTCTACCAGGAGATTCACTTGTTGACTTGGAATATGTTGATGACACAGTTCTATTTCGTGAAGACGCTGACAAAATGCCGAGTTTTCTGACCACTCTAAGCAACAATGCAAGCATGTTCGGGATGCTCGTATATCCTGGGACCATAGAGTAAGTAACGCAGTTGTTAGGGAACGGGTACTAGGTAAGGATGGCAAATCAATTGATGAAGTAGTGAAACTTCGTCAGTTGAGATGGCTGGAACACGTGTTACGTATACCCAACGACTGACTGCCTCGACGTGCTATGTTCAGTGGTATAGGAGTAGGTTGGAAGAAAGCTAGGGGCGGCCAGACCAAAACATGGCACAAGTCCATGAAGTCACTGACAAGTGGACTAAGTCATGTTGGTAGGTGTAGACTACCTGGTTGGGGACCGCGAGATGATAGCAACTGATGGTTAGAGATCCTGAATGACATGGCTCAAAATCGTTTGCAATGGCGCAGGTGCATCCACTCTTTGTGTTCTCCCAAATTTTGATCTCCTTATTCCTCCTTGTCTCTTTTTTTCTCTTCCCAAATTTATTTCACTGTATTATACTCTTTAAATAACATCTTCAAACACTAATTTTCCCGATTACTGCTTATACTCTTATTACCTCTACCACTTCGGGATTTGAATCGACCACTGCATCTCTGTGCTAATGTGGTGTGGCAACTCGAACTGACGTACATACGTACGAAGTTCTACGCTGTTACTGACTGACTGACTGATTATTCTTTGAAAATTGAAGTTAAATTCACCAGAGTTTATTATTGTTTATGAGATCCTCACTTACAAAACCGTTAAACTGTGAGCTAAAGCTAAAAACTTTCCATCGTGAAGCTCAGATCCTCAAGGAACGGCTAAAAATATTGTTATGAATATACGTATATGTACGTTTTTGATAAGTTGGCGAGCAAACAAACTCGACAAATAACCCTAAGAGTTCGAGTGAAGTTCAACAACTTCAGGTTTGAAGCAGTTACTTATTAGTGATATTTTATTATGGTTGTGGAGTATTGTGAATTGACTGAAGTTAGAAATGAAAACCAATAAATCCCGGTTTTCTGGTCTAAAAGTTAAACAATTACCATGAGACCTGAAGGTCCCAGATTCAGTCCCAGGTCAGATTGTAATGAGCACCACTGAAAAGTCTCACACTAGGACGAAACATATGTTCAATAATTCCTGATTTTCGACGGTTATCTACGATCAATCCATGATGTAAACTATGAAACACAACAATCTTCACAAAATCCCCCACTGTATGATAGACTCGTCTAATATCTAATGTAATAGAATACTGGTGCAACGAGTGAGTTTCCATACCATATACTACCATAGTACAATTGATGACCAAGATTATATTACCAGTAGACTGGATACTTGATCGATACGCTATACATGGAGTGCAGGAGTCACTTTATACCAGATACATGATTCAGAACCAAATATAGGGAACTAAAGTATAAACATTATACATTTAATAGTCAATAAGTCGAGTTTCTCTGAGTTCACACTCAATGGCCGATTACATTTTACTTTTTACGGAATATATTAATGACTATGATATGAAATAATTTGTCCAATTATATATCTTTAACCTCATTCTTCCTTTATTTTATTGAAAAAAGGAATATACAAAGAAAAACAATGGTCAGATTGAACAACCCAGTAGAAAGTGATAATTTTTGGAGTTATTCACTTTTTTTCTGTCTCTCTCTCTCTAACTATGTATCATCAGTAAAATATTCTGATACGCCCAGATTATATAGTAAATAAACAAAAGAATAAGGATGATATGCATGACAAAACAAATGCTTAAATAATGATTAAAACCGAACACTTGAGCTATAGGCAAATATTATTATTATTATCACTACTATTATTAGTATTGACCCATTAACCAGACACAAATTAGTATACTTGGCTTTTAGTCACAATCTTAATGTATGCACTAATAAAACTACCCAATTACCTAAGCCGAAGTAGGTGGAGAGAGGGGTTCGAGAACCTGAGACTTAGGGATTGAAAGGTGAATGTTTTAGCCATGAAGTCATGCCTCCGATAGGTAAATAAATGCATAATGTGGTAAACAATGCTTGATAAAGATAAATTACTTAATAGTCATATTACCATTATTATTGCTAATCGGTCCACATAATTTGACAACAACAAATTATTGATGGTCAATATGTGCACAGGTTAATACCTTCATCACTACCATAACCTACTTGAAATAATGATATATAAACAAAGTTGGTAACCTGAGAAAAATTAACGAATAGTTGGAAAGTCAGTGACAAGGATATTTAATCATGAAATAATGTAGTATACAAAAACATTATAGATGTTGAGATTAGCTCAAATAATAAATTTGATATAGGTTAGGCTGGTCATTCATCCAATATGTATATCCAATTGTTCGAAGCTTATATTGCATGTAATTCGATGCTAAAGTTCTGACAACTTCACCCAAAATAATATGAACTATTTTTACTAACTATTGATGAAGCATGTGGTTTGTGCGCTGATATTTATCAGCCAATAATGAGTAAGTGAATAATTTAAGGTATTTGGGATGTGTATTACGTGGGCCTAGTTACGACTTATCACAACATAAAGCGCTGGGTGACATCAAAGGTTAGAAAACAGCTAGTGTTTGATCTTGTTTACTAACACTAATAACACCACTTTGATATTTTTACCTTGATGGCTTTATCTTAGAATCCGGATCTAGTGTGGTAATTTAAACTGATCCCTATTTGGTTCCTACAATGTTTACGATTGATCAAGTGAAATATGAGCTTTTGAGAACACCAATAATTATGTCAAAATCTACTGAATAGTCACTTTCATTTAAAAGTCATTAATTACGCATATTCGACCAGCTCGTGGACTAATGTTTGGTATTGTTACAACCTCAACTCACCCCCATCGCACTTTAACAAATTAAAATTTATCTGAAGAGATTTGTTTGATTAATAGGCTGTATTCAGTATGGATTTATTTCATTTGATGTACGACTAAGAATTAGGAAACCCTGAAATCCTGTTTCGTTGTAGTATGGGACTTCTGATGAGTGTATAACTTCCTATTGAATTACAACACAGTTGTTTTAATGGTCAAGTATTGGAAGCGAGACTTAAAGGTTTTCGGTTCGATTGTTGGTGGAATCATATGTGGGCACTTTTGAAGAGTCCCATACTAGGACGAAATAGTATATTAGTAATAACTGATTTTCGATTATATCATAACTGAGATCAATCGGTGATGAATACAACCTACAAATTAAAATTTAGTTAAAAACGAAAATTTCACCATAAACATATATGTTTGGAGATATAACACATTTAACAAATAATTGTATTTAACTTACAGAAGTGATAACTGATAATGAACCGCTGAAAAACCATGAGAATATACGTAATTGTTCAGCTACTTGTAGAAATGTTTTCTTGATATAAATAAGAACCAAAAGTAATGAAGGGTTAGACATGAAAAAAGAAAGATACAAATATACACGAACAATACTTGACACTTCCGCTTCACTATGATATACTAATTCTATGTATAACATTCTGTGTAAATCGGTTATGAAATGTAAGATGAAATAGTTTATGATTTCAATAATCTAGAAACACTTCATAATTGTAATTATTTAACATTGAAAGAAGAAAAACAATACCAGTTAAATATATCACACAAGAATTCTCATCATACATACTGTTGATTAGAGTTGGAAGTGTATATTATTGCATCCTAACCTAATAGTAAAGCTCTTATTACAAGGTGTAAAAAAAGATTATGAGTTCAATCCGTAGTAGAGTCGTGAGTGAGTATTACTAAAGGATCCTATACACTAAGACAAAATATATTTCCAGTCCACACTGATTTTTAAAAGCATCTAAAGTTAGATAAAATTCTTGTGACAAATACCACATATCACATATATCAAGGTGTAAAAATAGGCAGAAATTAAAAATAAGAAAGGAAGAATTAGATTAGTTCTTATTAAACTTATTGTTAATTATTTTTGAGATACTAGGACACTGATTAAGTATTAGGTGCAGGGTACTAGACAGAGACAAAAAATAGATTGATGAGGTGAACATTAATTGTAGAAAGATGCTTCAGTGGTTAAGACTTTCGACTTCCAGTCACGAAGTCGCACATCTGAACCACGCTCCATCTGCTTCGGTTTAGGCACCCAGGTAGTATCACTAGCCCTCACACTTTAGTGTGATTTGAAGTCAGGTACGTTAGTTTTTGCCTAGTAAGTGACTTGAATAATAATATAGAATAGAGTGGAATACTGATGGGTCAGGATTCATTGGTATATATATCTAATTTCAATCGATTCGTGATACTTCGCAACCCTCTTCTATCGCCTGAAGTGAGTGACTGTTTCATATCCGACAAGATTGAACTCAACCAGTCACAGTTTCCAAAATTGTCCAACTTAGACTGGTTCGTGACCTCAAAAACATTTAGCAATCCCAAAGGACCACTATACTGACAATAATAGTAATAATAATGTTAATAATAACCATAGTAATAGTATTATCGTAGAATGAAATCATCATGCAACTTTAATAGAGAGGGAGTTCTGAACCTAATAATGATCGCATCTTTGGTAAAAAGCAATAGATTTTAATTCATGCAATGTCGTTGAACTCACTATTAAACCAATGAGTATGTAACTATCAACGTTAAGGTTTCAAGTTTTTGAGAATGCGTTTTCACAGCACAATCAAGAAGCTCTTATATAACTTATTACGATGTATACGCTTTGCTATGTGAACGTGTATTGATAGACACAGTTCACGGTAGTATAAAACGATAGTGTTTTATCGCAACTCTGAACAAACAGATGTTAGACCATCATTGAAAACCTGGAAGCATTGGACGTCCGTATCGTCCTAGTATGGGACTCCTCAGAAGTGCGCAGCCACGACCCGGCACACAGGAATTGAACCCTAGACCTTCGGTTTTTGATGTGTCCTCCAGGTTATGTGCTCGTGTTAAACGACTAAAGCCAATTGACAGAAAGACTCGAATCCAGATCTCTAACAAATTGGAACTCGTGAACTCCTTCCCAATTGCCTTCAAAAGACCACATTGCAAGTTGGTCGATCAATCAGTAGCTTTGAAACTCAACAAGTAATCATGATGAAGATTGAACATTTCTGTGTCATTGTGATGAATCCTTAAACTACCATCACCTACCATCTCTAGCCATTGGTTAGGAAAAACCGCGCGGACCTCAACCAGGTAATTTGAGCATAACAACATGGCGCAGTTCAACGATTAATCATTTTATGGGCAGATCCTACATCATGGTTTGCACATCCCTAGTCTCCTTACTTCGACATTAGCCGGTATTTTGAGTCGGACATATTTATTACATTTCCCAACCACCTCGACCGATAAAGATTTGCAGCTCTGTTAACAGATTTGTCGTTTTTTTCTGTACCCAATATCCAACCCCAAGTAATGACCTTAAATATACCTGAACACTTCAAAAACACCTATGACTAAATACTTACACTAGGAATGTCCTCTACATCTAGAGGTCCCATTTCATAACCATTGGTTAAAACAGGACAACTCCTAAGAAGTATGGTGTATCCCCATTGACACTCCGAAGATAGGCAAAGTAAAAATGTTATATAATACTGTTTCGTCATTTTCGACACTGTTATAATCAATGGAATTATGCTTTATTAATAAGATGCTTTTTAATTAAGAAAGTATAAGACCTCTTACGACCAAAATATATGATAAATATTCACCAATTCTTACCTCTAAAATAGAATTAGCTGGTTTAATTAAGAAGAAAAATGGTTCATCTGAAGATAGTTTTTTTAAACGTTCTTCAAATTCATGACTTTCTTCAAAATTCTTTACTGCTGGTCTATGGAGAGAAAAGAAAGCATTTTAAAATAAAAATGTAGAATATAATTAAACCATAATTTTAGGAAAAAACGGCCCCAGTCAATCAGTACAATGATGTGGACAATAACTAGCTAATTACTCCAAATATTTCTCGGACAGCGAACTTACTGGCTTGTGTATCGTTAGATACCTGTGGATTTAACTCACAAAGATCAATTGTTATCTATGGCTTCACGTTAGTTATCGCCCTTTTAAAAGCTGGCGACCAGACAATGATCCCTCATTCACGTCACTAATAGAAAAAAATAGACAACTGGAAAGAATTTGAAAGCTAAGTAAGTGCTCCATTAAATTAGTCCATCCAACGTTTTAGTTGCGCTGTATGAAAGTAGTTTTCCACGCTCATTTCTTCAGAACGTTATTTAACTGCTTACATTTTAATCCCAGTATTCTTTTATAAGTCTAAGCAACAAACCAAATGTAGTATATCTGTCATCCATTTTACTTTTTTGACTACCGCTGCTCACGATCAAACTTCTGTATCATTTTTGAAGTACGCAAATGTTAGTTTTCAAGAACCTATTAACTCACTAGAAGTTAACAAAATGTGTAGACGTCTCACAAACTTTTTACTTAGAATATTGACACACGTCAAGGTTGATTTTTTACGACAGATTTAAACTTAATCCAGGCTAATACAACTTAGATAGCGTGGTTATACTTCAATATAAGCGTCATCAATTCCACCTGCTGTGATTTTTCTGAGACTGACATTTCCTAGATAACTGCAACATGAAGAGATAACCTCTCTTGAAAATCTTGGAAGGGAAACCAAATACTGATGCTCTTGTTAATCTAAGAGTGAGACTGCAGGACCCAGAAGCTGATCATACATCGAGCAATTGTGACATTTACATGCTAACTAGTTTTCAAAGATACAATAATCTACAATTCTCGAACCCCAAACAAATAACTCAAGAATCAACACGAAACAAAATTTTCAAGGCTAATTTGAACACATAAATCATGAGTTACTAATTATTAACAACCTTGAGGTTGAAAATTAGTTATAAATGACGTTTCATTAGTCAAATCATAAAAGAGTAAAAATAAAGTCTTTAACTCTACTGAAATTTTATGAAAAGAGTTGATTGATTTAAATGATTGCAGTAAATATCCAGCTTTACTGAACTTTTAAAGGTTAATTGCCAATGCTTCGCAACACGACATTCATAATTACCAAATTGTAGGTTAACTCTTTAACCCCTCACATCACATCACCATCACTCAGTTTGGGTAAAAGATGGGTATTATAAGATCTTAAGAACAATTTCACTCAGTCATAAATTTTGTGAAAAGAAGCCAACTATTTAAACTATTTTCAGAAAAAGTTAGTATCCCTTAGGACTAAAGTGATTTGAGTGTGAAAATGTCATCGTTTAAAAGCTAGATTTACAACTAAAGAGAATCTGGGTGACGATACAAAATATTTGTGTTTAACCTTAATAAACCTACTTTAATCTTAATATCGGAAATGGTGATATGTCCCAAAGTCCGATCAATCCATAGCTAAATACAAAAACTAATATTTAGAAAATAAATATAGCTAATAGCCGGGCAGTGAAGCGAACCATTAAACAAATTATATTATATTGACCAGGGCAGGAGAAACAATTTGATGTTAAACTGTCAGTCCTTTAAAAGTGGTCAGCAGGATATCCTAGACCTAAGATTCATGAAAGTTGGTATCCGTCAGTAAAGTGTACCTACTATCCTGTGGAAACTAATATTCTGTGTGGCATTCAAACCTGTGTTACTTAGCGTTATAGTCTAAGACGTCACCATTAAGCTATACGGACCGCGATTGAGACATTTACGAGTAATTACTCATTGAGTAGTGGCCAGTATCATGTCCGTCTGGTCTATAAACAATCTGTCCATATAGTGAAATACGGAATTCAAACGAAACATTATAAGATTTCACTAACACATAAACACAAACAAAATCTAACCATTTAAGGCTATGGTATTTATAGATTAACAGACGTAAAATTGAAAAAGTAAACATACCCATTAGCTCTTTGCGCAAATGTAACAAGACCATGAACAGTTCGATCACCGATAAATGTATATGATACTGTGCCATTAATACTGAAATGGTCAAAAATATATGAACACAAGGGATTTGAGAAGATTTAATCAATTAAGACAATAAAAACGTAGAACCCGATACATATACAATCCACTCAAGTTTTCAAACCACACCAACACAGATAGATGAAACTATTAAGACAAACCCCAGAGTAGTAAGAGTAGTAATAGTATCAATAGTAATGGAAAATATTGAGTATGTAAAAAAGAGAAAAGGTATAAGATGTCAGGACTCAGGTTCTAAGGGAAGACGATGAGTGGATGTACTTCGGCGATTACAAACGATTTTCATCTGTCATACAAACTTAGAGACCAACTTTGAAACTTCAGTCACCTTTTTCTGGGACATTACCAACCGAAAATTGAAGAAATTTTGGAGTTCAGCAATATCAATAACCTTTGCAACCAGTAATCAAACTGTTTCTACTGTCGCCCAAGCAATGACTTGATCTAATCACTGTGGAAAAAACATACTCTAAATTGTCCTTCTGTTACAACTGAAACGACTTGAGAGTTAACTTGAAGCAAATGTCACTTGAAATGAAAATTGCAGATCATCCCCGTTACTACTGTTATAACTTGGCAAAAACACTAGTACGGCTAATTATCACAGCCATGGATACAACTGGTTACTTGATATTACATAACTGCACAAAGACTGATACGGTTCCATGCAAGACATCAGACAAACATTTACTATGCACCTATAACAAATCTACAAACTGACCCAACCACTGATCAACCACTATGCGGAAAATAAATTGAGGTATATACGATTTTCGTTTCTGGTCAATACTCGACTTTAAACGTGTTGAACTGGATAGTATTTGATACATGTTAAGATCAATAAATTACCGGATGTATACAATTTACAACATCAACAAATTAAACTGCTTTAACTAACAAATACAACTGAACTACTGAGTTATGTATGTGCTTCTTGATAACAGATACTTATTCGTCCCACATCTTATGTTGATGAAGAGTGACTAACTGATAATAAACTAGCCAATTAAGCAACAAGATGAATAGGTCTTAAATACAAAAAGCAGCTATCTAGGTATTAGACTTTTTATGTAGTCGACGTGTATTCCAGTTTGTTAATTTTATACGTGAAAAATACACTAGGTTTTGAATGGATTTCTATGAACGAAACAAAACGACAGATGAGTTACTAATTATTATGACAAATAAAACCATGTTCTCACTAATGACTAACTTCAAGAGAAGATTTCCTGAGTTCTGGTAAGAAGTCATGATCAATAAAGTTCAGTCACGCCAGATGTAAGGTACTCACCAAGGACAATGGAGAATGGTCGCATATCACCGCGGACTGATTGAAGTCAGACTTGTGCACCACCGAATGCCGACTAAGCAGTTTTGAAGTTAATAGTTAGCAATTGAAAGCCCTGGGCTCGACTTCTAGTCGCAGGGTCGTGGATGAGCACTACTGAGTCCCATACTAGGATGAAGCGGTCATCCAGTTCTCCCATATTTTTGATGATTGTCTAGCCTATATTAGTTCGTGATCCTAATAAAATCCAACAATTTCCACAACCACATAGTGATTAGGATTTTATGACTTAAGTTTAAGATAAAAATCTTAAAAACACACTCACTACTTAATTGTTGGGAAACCTCGCACATCGAACATCTTGGCTATTCCGGTGTATATTGTGGCGTCAAGTCTAGCAACTTTGATTGAAGGTTCCGTATGAAGTAGTATCCTGCTGGCTTCTTCGTATGTACCAGACAAACGGCGACAGAATCCACACCAAGGAGCATAAAACTAAGAGTTTTAAATCTATCTGTCGTGGGACAATTACCTGGACAAGCCAAGGACCCTTGTCGATAAACTCAATGAATCTAAAAAGTATTAATGCTTAATAAATTCAAATACTATATGAATACCTGCTATCCAGTTCGAATACTTCACATCTGACATCGAGTAATATAACTACAACTCAATTAAGAAGTGAAATAGAAACAACCTGTTAATATCCAGAACACAGAAATCAATATCATAAGTATGGTGTAGATCCAGTAGTTTGTAGTTTATAAGTGGTATATGATATCACTCAGAATAGTTAAAATAGTTTTATCCACTAAGATCCCACACCTATCCAAACAAGAATAAGAATAAAGCAAATTAACAGTCTATTTAGTACATTGAAATATGAACAAATTCACCTACAAAATGTGTCATTTGAATTTCCGATTTCTGATATAAAGAGGTAAAAGTAATAACCTTCTAAACATAAAGGTGAGAATTAAAAATTCTCGTTCACATAAGTCTTGTTAGAGGTGTAAAAATATTAATCCTATTGTAAAACCTGTGATTTATAGCCAAATATACAAAGATTTAATTGGCTAGTCAGCCACTCACAGATATGTTTAGACTTCTGTAACTGCACAATTAAATTGTAGCCACTCTTATCACACTCCTGTGTAGCCTATTTTTGTCCTAGCACCTCTGTCCATATTGTTATTTTAGCCATGTCAGGTACCTTGTGACATTCCTCCGTACTTCCGTTATCAATAACCTGAGTAATTATATTTATGTGCTTTTATATGGCCTTGCCTTATGTGTCTGTCATCTACGTCTCAAATGGTTATCTTTAATTTATAAATAGAACATAGAGGTTATCTGAAAAGCATTCCTTAAAGATACTATCCCCGTACAGTAGTTCACAGAAGTGCTTTCGAGCAACTGCGAAAGTTGCTGGCAACTTTTCAAAACGCTAACTTGACGCTGGCTACTTTTGACCAATTATTGCGTGTACCAATAATTGAGGCTGTAATGTAACCACTTCAGTATGGGTCCAAATGTCGTTTAACCTTCTGCAAGAACGCCAGTGAGATGTTTCTTCTGAATTACACATATCTGGACGATAATTTCTAGTCAAAAAAGATTAAAATAATTAAGAGAACAAGGACTTAGTCGATAACTGATGCTCTATCGGTACACAAATTGGTGCAAAATCACCTCAAATAAGATCATTATTGCTAGAAATAACACGGGCCACTTAGGCTTCTGTCCTTCTCAAACTGAAGTTGAGACTGAAACTGAAACTTATCACGTCTTGCTTTCCCGGACACTTTGACAAAAAGTAATTCATATACTACGGTTCTCGAGGTCAAGTTGGACATTTACCCGCACTCTCTCGTAAAGACTAACTTTACCGCTAATTTGTGGGCTGAAAACTATTTCATACTACATTTTAAATGGTGAATACCAACTTAATAGTTGAATCACTATCATGAGCCTAGAACAATAAAATTTCAGAATACTTTGAAACCATCTAAAAGTCAGTCCCTAAACTTTAGAACTGTCGTAAAATTGTCTTACGGCAAGTATATATATAGAGAGAGAGAAAAAACGTAATTAGATTCAACATTGATAAAAGTCATCCATTAAAATTCGAGGAATTAAGAAAACAAAAACGGCCCACCATCACGGGAAACAAGCGAATTATCGGCTGTAGTATCTAAGTAAAATAAAAACATCAGTGATCATAGGCTTAATAAAACCCGTCAACTTATAATGAGGTTTCCATAATGTTTCCAATGGATTATATCGCTGTAGGGTACAGAAACCTTAGTGATCGGTAGATAATCGGAGAGAAGAAGACGTAATCAAGACGAACAGCTCATGAAGAATAAAGAACAACATGGGACGAAGAATACTAAGTCTAAAACCACCTATGTACACAACCAGAATACGCTATCGACAAGGTCACATTACGAACCAAGAGCTATAATTCGTCAAGGACGTATGGTTCGAATGGTTCAAACGGTTGTGGACGGAATAGAAGAAACTTTCGCTTAGATTGATAATTCGAGTAAACACTCTGTCTGCGTGTGTATGAAGGTGGCTTTACTTTCTGAGTATCCATGTAAGATCCTTTTGTTTGAATTTGTACATATGAGTGAGAATGAAGAACCCTTCCTCAACCCACTTTGTGTTATATCAATGCCTAAGTTTCGTTGAATAACAAACTTCCCATTTTAACTGTTTATTTCCTGGACGTCATGTTTAACTTATGATCCGAGACAGTGTTAGTACTGAAATTTACTTACAATGATATTCAACATTTATTTGATACCAGCTACTATCAATCTACTGGTTTCTTTGCGCTCGTTTCTTGTTATTTTTGTACAGATTCAAGTATGGTTATGGTCAGTGTGTGCTTTTCAAGATGCTCAATCGCACTAATTCTAATCGGTTCGGTGGTTATTTATGTATTTGTATGTTCTGAAGTTTAAGCCAGTGCGTTCGTCTCAGGGCAGCAGGAATTTCGGATATCAGCATTCATCACATTACCAAGCAGTAGGTTAGTCGTTTGGAACATAAAAGATAATATAGTGATAATTCGAATGCCAAGAGAAGACGATTGTTTCAAGAGTAAATAAATAATTTACTTAATTGATAATATGTAGGAAGAAGGAATCAAAAGAAAATAATGGGACAAGAGATGATAAAAAGAGGTAGGACGTAGCTACTGGTTTCGCAGTAATAAAAGCAGTGGTGATTTGTGACACATGCCTCACATAAAGCCGGTCCACGTGGGAGATGGTAATCCATGAGTGAGTACGTGTTTATCAAATGTCCTCTTATAACTATCCTCTGATGGAGCTGTCATAGCTCCGGCTGGGAGATCATTCTAAATAAAGACAACTCTTAATGTTAGAAAGTGAGAGCATAGTTTCGTTACCGCCCTTTGATAAACAATCTTCTGAGGGTTGCCTCGATGGATGTGATGATATTCCGATAAGCTGTTTGTATTGGGGTGACTTGGAGTACGTAATATGTTTTATGCCATAATCAGATCTCTCATTAGCATAAAACGTGGACTTCAGTTTGAGACAACCGATCAGATTTCTTTTGGGTTTCTCACAAAACTCTAAATCTCTGTAGTGTCTGCATAGACAAGTGCCGCAGGGCTAACTTTGTCCTAATAGTCATTAATAAGGATTAGGAAGAGGAGAGGACCTAAGATTGTCTTCTTTTAAACTCCTGATATTGACACCTGCCAGATCAGTGTAACAATTGTCGTGTTTTATGGAGGTTCCAACTGGTGGTTGAGAATGAACGCAGGTAAATTTCATGGCCATTTGTATCAAGAAATGATGCGATAAGTGCACAATCGACTAGTTAAAAACTTCAGCTTTAATGCATCATTTTATGCTTCATGATAGTATTCCCAGATAACAAAGTTAATAGGCTACTAGTAAACAAAGCGATATATCCTTCAGTAATACTAGAAGTATTAATAAGGGCGTCGGAATAGGTGTTTCTGGCTGTATATCATAAGGTCCTCAAAAATAAATGGGAAAAGTATTAGGATCAGAATAGACAATGCTCATTACTAGTAAATTTAAGTCGCTTGTGGTGAAATAATTAAGGTATGTTTACTTAGACCTATTTAATTTTATTAGGTCCATTTTTATCCAAGGGTATTTTCATAGGTTAAAGAAACAAGGCATGAGTATGGCAGCAAATGGATAAGGGATTGTATATATAGAGGAGATCCTAAAGAGGTGAAAGTTTGAGATAATGTTAATCTCAAAAATGTACTAAGGAAAACACAGCGTTTGTGTACACAAATGAACTTTCCATGGTGGTGATTATTACTGCTTTGTATGATTACAACTTTTATAACGTCATGAGTCAACTCCTTATTAGCGTAATTGTCCACTTTGATTTACAGTTGGATTTCTCGGTAAGAAGTGAAACCGATTCAAGGTTACAAACGCGAGTCAATGAGATATTTGGCATCGGAACATAATACCAATACCATTGATTAGTCATATCCCACTAGACCATAAGGAACTGAAAGTAAACAAAATCTTTTACCCTACAGGCATGAACGGGCCGAAGTTTTCTCCCCCTTATCATGCTCGCTGGTCAAGAAAATCACACTCCCTCCTTTTGTGATGTGAGACCGTCTTACGTTTATGGTATGTTTAAACATGGCTTTAATCTACGCCCAAATTCTCACACCTTGTTGGAATAAATTGTCTCCACCAATTCCATGTTACAAGTAAATCAGATAGCTAAGGCTTCACTATGGTGGGTTAGATATCCTTTTTATATATTACACTGTTGTTAAGTTAACCAATGGTACAAGTTAAGAGACACTCGTCAGATGGTTTGTAGCTTGAAGATTGTAAAATATATAGATGAAAGAAAAGAGTTTACGGTTGCAAAATCTATGAGTGAGATGATAATTAAGTGAGAAGTAAAAATATTTGAATGGTAATGCATTTGGAACATCAAAACTTTTTAATGAGAACAATATGAACTGGAAGGAACTCACAATAAGTCATGATAATATGAGCTTCTTATGATCGACCACAGTTAACCAGCAACCATAAGTTTGGTGAGTTATCTGCCTATTTGAAATGGAAACTCCATAGGACTTCGTGGAAAAAGTGTTGCAGCTTTAAACATTAAAGAGACTTCAGATATGAGTGTGAGGGGTGGCTGAATACCAGCAATGAGAGAAGGGAAACCAAATATTTTATAACTTTGTTGTACATATAGTGATGGCAATGGTAGTTCGATATATTCATAGCCGGTCTAGATATTACGCGAACCATGAGACGTGCATCGGGGATATGTGGGAGTGTTGGGAAAGACTGACGAGGCTTTTTGGGAACATATATAGGGTTGTTATTCCTTCACAATTGATGAGTATCACAGTCACAGTTAAGTATTGATAGCCTGTTCCATAATAAACTGTAATGCACCATCGAAAGCTTACAACGCGTTGGCTTTTAATGTTTTGCAGTTAATAGTGTATATGCGTTGTTACTGAGTTTGTATGCAGAGTTATGGATCGTGGTTGGACAGAAGGTTAGGAATGAAAAGCCATGGTTGTCAGATTTCTTCTTGTGATTATCCGCCAGTAATGTGAAGACACAGTTCCTATCCATGAAAGTGATGAAACATTCCAATATGATTGTGGGATAGTGGATATTTCCGGTTATCGATGAGAGGCCGGCGAGATTATGTTGGACTCGGAGATCACATGAATAATTTATAGTGACCTACTTTTATCAAGAGAACGAGATTGGTGTACTGGAAACAATTACTTATGTAACCAATTGTACCGGGGATTGTTTAACCGTACTTGTTTGCTTAACCGTACCAAAATACATACATTCTTCCATTGATTGTGACCTTGCACGAGTTCGGTTACGCTCAGTTGTAACGGGGTTAAAATCATCGTGTATGGTGTTGTTTATAGATTCTGTTTTTCGTTCTATTTCAGGGCAACCAAGAATAAATGCTTTAGAAGAAACAGAGCAAGCTCTGCACGCACTGAACTTACAAGATGACTCATAAGACTGTTTTGTAAACTAGCTCTCCTTTCTGTACATAGCCCGCGAATTTTAATTTTCAAATGAACGACTGGGGATTTCCATTTCGTGTTCTCTCTGTGATGGGAAATGCTCGGTTAACATTGTGTGGTGTTGTGGTTTTAGGTCTTCCCACGTTTCAGCGACTGTTGATTACACGCGTTACACAGTAAACACGCTAGGTGGACTTATCCACAACGTTTCCATGTAAGCCTAATCTGTCGCCTAGTAAAATAACGGTCATATCTGCGCTCATGTAATCACACAATTTGTCACTTTATAATGTATTTTTCATTAAATAAGTAGATTATGCTGTGAATTTTGCTCTGGTTGTAATTTTTGTTCGCCAAGTCCAACTGCGTTACACTGTACGTTCATTGCAGGCTGGGATGATATCCCAAGTCATAGTAAATTTAATCACATCGTTGCTTGCTACAAAATAGTCTGTCAGTGTATAATGTTACTGAAGAAAGTTCTGTTGTGCCGTAAACTATGTTTTTATGAACAACTGACTGTTGTCTTTAGCCTCAAAACAATATCCTTTGTCTTCTGCTAGGTATGTTTAACTGGCCTATAGTTCGTGTTTTGGGTTTATCGTCTGAATTATGTACATTTAACTACTTTGAATAACATGCCTGTGCAAATGAAACAATAATTATGACACTTGGTTGTCGTATAATTCAGTTCATTCTATAGAATTATATTATACTTAAGTATATTGCTTGAAGCCTGTAACGAAACAGATCAGTTTAGTACGTAGAGCTGCCTGTTTTTAATGAGTATACTGATTCAAATCAGTGTGATTAAAAATAGGAAAAAAAGTGCATTTGATGCTGTTGCTGTCATACATTATAAAATAGCGATAAGTATGCTTGGTGTTTATTTCCAAACTGTACATCTAGCACTGACTATATTTCAAGATCACTGTCATTAAACAATTTCCTCAGCAATAACATCGGTAGCAGGATAGCTAGGCGTCTGATCTTTTAGTTGCCTGCAAAAATGTAGTATAAAGTCTTAGAAGATGAGTGTTCTGTATCTCAATTAAATGCAGCTGGCTGTGAACAAATGTTAAGTATCTTTTTGACAACTGGGACTTCTAGTTCATCAGACACTAACTCTGTTTGTATGCCTTCCTGTTAAACCAGACGCAAATGCATGGGAATACTTAAATGGGAGCGAAATAATAAAAGCTATGTGATACGGTACTAAGCCCATTTTATGCTTTGCAGAAGTCATAGTAGCTGACCTGATCTAATATTCATGAACTCGAGGTTATTTATTTATTTATTTAGTGGCTTTGTTCAATATTATATTTTGGTACATCACAGCTGCATAAATTCTTTGCTAAAAGACATGTAATTTGTTTATTTATCTATTCCACATTGCTGACT